TCCCCCGAGGCCATTTTATTGCTTTACTTAGCTAGTTAATTTACTGGTTTTGTAATTAATTAGTTAATGTGTTTAGCTAATTTAATTCGTCTTTGTAATATTCTAATTAGCTTAGATTAGCTAGTTATTCAATCTCATTTGGTTTGTAATAATTAATTAGCTAAGTTAGTTAATTAGTTGTTTTGTAATAAGTAGCTTAGCTTAGCATAGCTAGTTAGCTTATTTATTCGGACCCTCCTTCGAGAGGGCGCATTGTTATAATAAGGGTGCGTGTATGTGTGCATGTCTTCCAACCCCATTTCTTTCTCCCTTTTACTTATCAGCTTTTGATGGTTAGTTTAGGGCACATTTCGATTAGCATACCTCATGCTTTGCATGTTTGCATCATTCATTTGTCTTGCATGCACCAGGCTTGGCGCATCGCATCGTATTTCAATACTTATTTGAATACGTGTTTCACAGCATGTTATCAATTGTTGCATTCATATGCCATTTTAGATAGCCGAGCCTATTTAGCTGCATTTTGCATGTGTTGCATTAGGAATCTTACATAGTTAGGATCATGCATTGTTTCTATCTAGCTTTTGTTTTGGCTTGGAGTACACTATAAGTGTTATGCTTTAGCTTACTTGCATAAGTGTGAGTGTTACCATGATAGCATGCTTGTCATGAGGCTGTGTGCTTATTTGCTTAACTGCTTGAATGCCTGTGGATGAAGGCTTTATTGCCTGAATTGGAACAACTCGATAAATTTGAGTTTTAAGCCCACTTTACGAGATGGCAAAATCATGTTTTCTAAAGCCTACTTGAGGGTGGCAAATCCGCGCTTTAGCCTACTTGCGAGTAGCACTTTCAAACCATTTTAAAAAACAAACATGAGTTGTTTTGTTCCAATTCTCGTGATTGAGTCTATATTTGTATGCTGTGTGCATCACGTAGTAAAGTTAGATTAATAATCGGAATAAGGACACATGTGTTCATAAAGCAACATATCATGGTAGTAGAGGCCGATCCTTTGATCGGGCGAGTAGGGGTGCTCATTTCAGGAGCTTCCCCTCTCGTACCCAAGTTTATGAGCTAAGGCAACTTTGGTAATGACGGACACGTAGCCTTTGGCACGAGTCAGGGTTTCCTAAATTTTTCAAAATAAAATATTTAGGTGACGACTCTGTAATCTGGCAAAACAATCCATGTTTGGCACTTTTTTATTCAAAATTGATTTTCCAAAACTAATTGCCAGATTTGGACTCTTTGGTGTTTATCAGTCTCACATTGCACTTTGTGAGATTAGATTCAAATCCATGACAGGAGTCCGAACTGTAGTAAGACCAATTCGCGCCTTCTCCAAAAGGGGGGCGCGCGAAGAAAGTCGGATCTACAGTTTGGCTTAATTGTCTTTAGATTTAAATTTAATATGTAATTTATCAAGATCAGGAGTAAATGGTTTACTAATGGTCATTAATTGAGGATTTACGGGAGTTATAACTTCGAAATCAGTTTGAGTTGGGGAATCCTGAGAATCAGTATCTTTTTCAGGAAGATGAGTATAACTTGAATAAACAGGTTTACTTATTTGGGAAGTCGTAGAGTTGTCGACTCCTTTCATTTTACTATGTGAAGTTTGACCAAGATGAATTTGACTATTTTTTTGAAACAAAGGGGTATTAAACATTTCATCTTCAGTTTCAGTATCAGTAGATATATTAGAAGTACTATGTCTAGAGAATTGACTTCGATTAAATTTAATTCGGACAGAACCATCAGTAAATTGTTGAATATCTTGAATATCTTGACTAGTCGATTATTTTTTATTATGTTTATAATTTTCATTGACTATAACCCATTGGTCTGGGAGGATAATATCTTTCCATTCAATCATTTTGGGAATATTGATATTAGCATCATTATTACTACTTTGGATTAATAGAGTTTTATCTTTTGGACTTTTGTGTAGAGTGTGAACATTTAAATTAGTTTTAATACATTTGTAATGAACACGATAAATTAAAGCAATATTATGTACATTTGCTTTCATATTTGTAAAGGAACCATTTAACTAAATATTTAAAGTTGAAGCATCCAATATATGTGGATCTCTAAGACTGAGTGTAAAATCAAGAAAATAATTAAAATGGACAGGTCCTCTATGGAGACCAGTTTTCATTATACCCATTAAACTATCATTATAATCAAGAAAACGAGCATTTCTTAAACATAATAATACAAAAGTATTTTTATCTTGTTGAGTTAATGGGTTGATTCCTACATGAATTAATCCTAAATGAATAAAATTATGACCAGTTTTTAAATGACGTTTAATAGTATTAGCATCAAGTAGTTGACATGTTTCCCGAGATTTTTCTAAAGTATAAACTTGTTCTAATGTTTTAACATGAAGATTAATATTAAAAGTAGACTGTATAAAAGTAGTTTTGTAAATTTCTTTAATTGGTAATCGTGGTATATTCCAGCTTAAATCAAGTTTATCATTTTGTATTTCTACATCTTTTTCATTAATTACTAATCCTTGATTAGGTATAGAGGGTAGAGTTGTTGATCTAGAACTGACAGAAGAGTTACTTCTAAATAATTGACTCATTTTACCTTTACTAGAAATGTTTTACAGGAATCTTAAGACATTGTCCAAATTTATCATGTTTTCACAAATGATGTGTTCACACATACCCAGTTCAGAAAAAAAAAAAAAAACCCTAAATCCAACACTGCCTAACCAAAAGAAAAAAAAAAAAAAAAAAAAAAAAAAAAAAAAACCCTAAATCCAACACTGCCTAACCAAAAGACTTACCTAGGATGTGGGACGAAAGATGGGTGGCTAGTAACAAAGTGGAAAGACACAGATATAATTTTGACAGATTAAGAGGATTGTAAACAAGTTCGAGAAAGGAAAAGAGTAGATACAGAAATAACGATTCAGTAAGCAACAGATAGCAACATAACTTGGCTCTGATACCAAAAGGAGAACGGAAACAGGAGAAAAGGAATAATATGCACACAAAATATAAATAAACACACAAATGTAAGATAATAATTAACTTACGATGGTTTACTGCAATGAAGAAAGCAGTTCTTCCATATACATAATCTCTAATACACTTTGAGACATTTTCAAAAATCGTCATGTCATATTATATCGATTTTATATACTTTTCATAATAATTTTTTTTTTTTAAACATTGTTTTTATCATAAAAGTGAATGCCTTTTATTTTTAAATGGAGCTTCGTGGTTTTTTAAAAAAAAAATTAATTTCCCCTTATTTTCAATTATAAGTAAACTATACGGTGTAAGAAAAATGAATCTAAAAATTATAGTAAATATAAATTAAAAAAAAAATCATAAGATTAATCAATGAGGAGGGACTTTTACTTTTAAATGATATTTTGTTACTTTTAAAAAGTATATAAATAGCCTTTATTTTCATTCATAATTAAACTATATGGTGTAAGGAAAATGAATTAACAATTATAATGTATGGTGTAAGGAAAATGAATTAAAATTATAACAAATATAAAAAAATAAAGGGCATTTAATTTTTTTTTTTAAAGTCACAAATTGTCATTTAAAAATAAAGGACATTCTATGACAAAAAAATGTTTTTAAAAATCCATTATGAATATATAAAAATATTAAAATAGAGGAAATTGAAGAAAATGATAATTTCATCTATAAAAAAGGAAAAAGAAAATGATAATTTCATCTCTAAATTCTAATCCTCATCAAAAACAGCTTTGCGCACTAAGCTTTCCCTCACGCAGAGAGGAGGCCCAAACTCATTTTAATGGCTGAGAAATATGAAACTCTGTTGCATCAAATTTCCAGCAAGTTAGACCACAAAAAGCCTAGTTTTTGGTCTTCAAAAAGATCCTATTGTGGACCCCACACCTTGTAAGACATTTTGCCATTTATTTGGTAGAAAATTTGGTATCTCTAACATTATTCTTTCCTAATTTCACATAAAATTGACAGAATGCACAAGGGTAATATATTTTATGAGTGATGCATTCTTTTTTTCTCTTTTTCTTTTTTTATCAGAAAGAAATGTTCATTACTCAAGCAAAACGATACTTACAAAAGGGAACCATCCAAAAGATAAGCTTACACCAAGCAAAGAAAAATCAGATCTAACAAACACACAGGTATAAAACTATGAAAATCTCAAACGCACAACAAGTGCTAGTGCTCGTGCTCGTACTGCAAGTAGAAGCCAAAATGATCGGCTATAGAGCATGTCTAAGATAGGTTATAGATTACAACCACAAAGTGGGTAAGCCACAAAATAGCATCGATGGATTCCATAGAGCACTCACAAACCAAAAAACAAAGAAAAAACTGGAGAGTACAACCTCAAACCCAGAGGAACAGCTGGATCGAGAGAAGCAACCAGATCCAAAGCAGATCTGGCTGTGGGAAGGTGATGAAGAGACGGTGAGCAGCGGAGAAGAAGAACATGGCAGATCCGGCACCGGTGGGAGGAGGAGCAACCTAGCAAACTTCCACCATGGGGGAAGTAAATCCTCACAAAGAGGAAGAAGTTGGGAAGAGAGATCTCCCAAGGTTTATTGAGCAGAAAACAAGAAGGAAAAGAAAAGGGGGGAGAAAGGAGAGGGGTGGCCGGAGGCCGAACCCCCCTCCCCCTCCCAAACAGCACCGCTGGTTGAAACCCTAAGAGAAGAGGCTAGAGAGAGATGCTCTCGTTTTAGATAGAGAGTATGAGTGATGCATTCAATGAAGCAGGTTTTGCAGCAGACGGTGATTAATTTAAGAACCTTTTGATAAAAATAAAAATAAAAAACCTTAAAATTAAGCAGTAAAAGTTAATTTTTCAGGCTTTGTTATCATGGAAATTATGCTGATTTTATCTGTAAACTTTTCTCTACAATCACCTATGTGTGAGCACAATTCTGAATGCATGTGCGAGTGTGCCGTGATAATAAAGCTTCGCAGTGACCACTTGAATAACCAAAAGGAAATTGATATAAGAGGTATAGTAATTTCCAATAATAAGCTTGAAGAATTGTAGTATCACTTCATAAGTTCACATTCGTTGTATATGATTGTATAACATTTGTTTAATGAATAGTTCTACATCCTCTGTATATTACAGAAAGAATTATAAAGAAGTGTTTGAAAGGCCAAGCATCAAAAGTGTATAAAAACTCGAAACTGTAAAAATACCTCCATGATATTCACAAAATGAGATGAAGCTCTGCACTTTCAGCTCACTGAACTACATTACGCAACAAGCTGTTTGTTGAAGGTGAGCTCTGTTCACTTGGCCAATGTTCCTGCACAGAAACAGGTGAGATATCCTTCACCTCTTCCAATGAAGTCAATTGTGGAACAATCAATCTCCTAGCCTTCTTAACCGACACACCACCTAGTGACTTCTCACTTCCATTATATGGTGATGAACAAGACGATGCCACTGATGATGTCGTGCATATGTTGTCCTCCATTGGGGCCCACCCACTGAGCCTTATCTGTTCTAGCTCATCTGCCACTTCCATCATGGAAGGTCTCACGTCGCTATGGAACGCAAGACATCTAAATGCCAGTTCAGCCACCTTGTGAACAGATGAAAGTGTCCAAGCATCTGTATGTGGCTCGAGGAATGGATCTATTATCTCATCCACATGACCCTTTCCAATCCTGTCAATTGCAAGTGCAGCCAAATTCACCTCAGTGTGAGGTCGAGAGAAGTCAACTACTTTCAACGCAGTTATGATCTCTACAAGAACGACCCCAAAGCTGTATACATCGCTTTTATCAGAAAGATGAAAATTTTGATGGTACTGAGGATCAAGATAGCCTGGAGTCCCTTGTGGAGCTGTTGAAATGTGGGAATCCTCGGTCATACCAAGTCTAGAAAGACCAAAATCTGCTACTTTGGAGTTGAAGTTGTGATCTAAGAGTATATTACTAGATTTGATGTCTCTGTGGTATATTGGTGGATTCATGGCAGAGTGAAGATAGGCAATGGCATGAGCAGTTTCACTGGCAATGGTGAGGCGGACTGTCCATGGAAGGCCTGTACCCCTTTCTCTCTGTAGATGCTGAGATAGAGTTCCATGGGCCATGAATTCGTAGACAAGGATTTGTTCACCATTCTCTATACAGCAACCTAAGAGTCGGACAAGATTTGGATGGCTCACAGAGGAAAGAAGCTTGATTTCATTCATGATTTGTTCAACACCGTTAGCGTCTCGGTGTCGAATTTTTTTAATGGCCACCCATTCATCGTTGTGGAGTTTTCCTGCATAAACTGTACCATAGGCCCCAGTTCCCAACCTTTGTTTCTCAGAGAAGCTATTAGTGGCTTTCGCGATTTCTTTGTAGGGATAGAAAGGAACATTGGAGCTACCTGCAGCTTCACATCGAAAGCGCCTTGCACTCATTTGGCTTCTTATAGAACTAGACCGTCGTCGGATGAAGTAACAGACAAAAGCCAGAGCAGCCATCAAAAGAGCTCCAACAATAATCCCTTAGGAAATACAAAGTAAAAAATGCTGTAAAATTTACACACACAAACTAAACTAAATTTCTGTTTGATGACTGTAAACATATATGTAGAATGACATAATTCTCATTATTTAACTGAAGAAATGAAGTTTGTATGTTTTGGCAACAATGCTATGACAAAGCATATAGAAGAATTTCATGTTTTGGCAGCAATGTCATGATAATGAATATAGAAGAATTTCATAAAAGTAATTCTACTTTTAACTCACAACATTGGAACCAACCAAACAAAGCTTTGTCCATCATGTTACCACTATATCAGCTCGTGGTTGCAATACGGTTCATTTCATATCAAAATTTTGGATTTGACTCTTCTTTAGCTTTCTTATAGCTGTATTGGAGATTTAGAATGAGTAGGAAACATAATTTGGTAGCTTTTAAATGCTCATGAAAGTTAATGGAATCTCTCAGATTTATTAGGCAAGTAACCTATGTTAGAAGCCTCATGGACCCCAGAAATCACTATAATGACACTGGTCTCACAACTAAGGACTGTCACTGTGTTACAAGAACAAGGGAACCACTGGATGACTACTTAAAAGGGGGGGTTTGAATTGCACCCTGACTCACAGATGAGAAAAAATTATTCAAAACTTCAAAGATCATTTTTAACTCATTTCAAGTTCCATGCAAAGTGGTTCAAGGGTTGGAAGAAAGAAAATTACCTCCAATGAGAACACCAACTTTAGCCTTTCCTCCACATTGGCCAGACAAGTAGTTTGAAGCACTGCAATGAGGAACTGATGATTTGCCAATCATAGAAAGGAAAAAGAAATTAGCAAAAATGAGTCTAAACAAAATTTGAGAAGGTTAATAGCTGAAATTGAGTTACATCATCTTTAAATTGCATGCTAAAAGGGGCATTTCATTGGAAACAGTTTTCTGGCACATAATGTATGTGTTCCTGGATTTTATTTATTTTTTTCAATATTGTATAATGTATTTTGACCAACCAAAAGCATGTGAAACTGGCATAAACAGTCAGTACCCAGATGAATTTACAGTTTATCTTCCAAATACTATTGCAAATGGCACGGGGCTGTTTTTGATGGGGGGTCTGGGGGGTGCAGTAACCCATTTGGCTCCCATTGAAGTCATTTTAGACCAAAAAATCATGTTTTTAGATGAATACTCATTTAAACAGCTGATTTGTTGTCTGACTAATTGAAACTATTCCTTCACATCATAGATGAAATGACGTCTTATTTTACATATAGAAAGCTTTAACAGAATGTTTCGACCACTTCATCCAGTATGAAAAGACATAATCTACACGTCATTTTCAACGTTCAAAGCCACTTCGGTCTATTTCTTTTCAGCAAGGTACAAGGACATGATCAATTGCACAATAGATGGAGGATAGTGGTGACAACTTAGTTCACATGTCGTGCCGAATCAGAAGAACATTAACTTCCTTTTTTGTCGTGTCAGCTAGGTATATTTGACAGTGCCTCCCTACTTAATCATCACTCAATAAACAAGCATATTAAACTGTGGAAGGTTCTGACTTTTGGGATTCAATGTGAGAAGTCAGAATTAAAATAGCCAAGAAAAGTTTTTATTTATTTATTTTTTTTGTGTGGGATAAATTCATAGCATATATAGTTAATTGTTCAGGTCAAAAATAGATTGGGGGCATTCACTCTTTTGACTATAATTTTATTTTGTTTGTTTTTATAACTAGATGTCTGAATCAACTTGTTCAAAAAAAAAACTTGCTTGCTCCTCAACTAATCCTGGTTTTTTAAGTTAACAACTAGACAAATCATCAGTATAAATTGCCCACATTAAAAATACCGTCAGACTTTAGGTTTTGAATAAACTCCCCAGCCTCATTATGACCAAATCCTATTTTAAGTCCGGAAATTCACAAGGACCCAAAATAGTGAAAGACTTTACCATTACTTCATCATCTCAACAGATATGCTCCATTAATGAATCTGTCCTTACCCATCAAATGTATATATGTGTATTATTATGGTTTTGAAACAAAATCTCAACAGATATATCATCAAAATGAGTTCTATCATGCAAGTCCAGAAGAACCAGACTCCAATAAGCTTTTCATTTCTGTTTCTTTTTCACTTTTAAGTGATAAAATCAGCTACTAAATATTCATATTCTTGAAACAAAATCCAGATAGCCAGTCCAAGGTCAAAATATAGGGAAGGGGAGGGTATTAAGGTCATTCAGCATCTTTAGCATAGTTGAAAAGGATGCTTCTAAATACACCAAAAAAAAAAAACAATCAATTTCCTATATAATCGTCCCTATAATTAAAAATATCATTGCTTCTATATGCTCAAAAACCAATAACAAGATCAGATATAACCCTCTTATATAGGGTAAAATCTACACAAATTACGGAACGCATTTCATATGAGATGATTGTATGGGATTTTGTTATCAAATTTTGTCTTAAGTTTATTTTCTAAAAATATAAAGTAAGACCGTTTCCAACCGTGTCCCAAAACTATCATCAAATTTAAATTTGATAAAAAGTACCTTTTGTTTCAGCTCCAATAGTTTCATCAAATAAGTATCAAATTTAGAATATCAAAAATGTTTCACCAAACTGAGAACGTCTGAAACCTTTCAGCATTTCACTGTTCAGAGCTGTTGTATTTTCACCTCCGGATGTCCCCCGAATGACCATCTCAAGGCAAAAAATTGTGAAAAATTTATAATAACCGGTCGACCGGCCAGACATCCGCCTGGTCTTCCACCCTCCGGATGACTACCTCAAGTAGGGATGTAAGAAAAACCGAAATAACCGACCAAACCGATTGAACCGAACGAAATTGGCTATATTTGGTCTATTTTTTTAATAAAAATCGGTCTGTGCGGTTTTTAAATTTGAATATTTTCGATTTTCGGTTCGGTATCGGTTTAAGCACCTTGTGCACCGATCTAAACCGAAACTGACCGCTTCAAGATATATTGTATTTATAATATATATATATATATAATCTAATAATATAATGATATGAATAAGTATAATAAATTATTAACCTTAATTAATTAATCTTATCATTTTTATAGCTTAAGTTTGTAAACTCTTATTATATATAATCGTAACTCTAACTCATTATTCTTGAAACTTTAGTATTTTTGATTTTTTTTTTTGTTTTTATTTTTGTTAATTTAGGAATTGAAAAGTATGTGTTAAATGGATGAAATGGATATGTTTGAAATGGCAGACAAATAACTAATTTAATGTTTTTATATAGATTAATGATTATATTTAAAAGTGACTCAAGTTTGAAAAATCCTAAACCGATTAAATCGTACCAAACCCAACCGTTTCAATCGGTTCTGTTCGGTACGGTTTGATGGGAGAAGCGGTCTGTATCGGTGTTCAAAATAATAAAACCGACATTATTGGTTCGGTATAATTTTTTATCTAAATACCGACCGTACCAAACCGATTACATCCCTAACCCTAAGGTAAAAATTTGTGCAAAATTTACACTAGCCGATCGATCGGCCGGACATTCTTTCAATTGTCCGTCTAGTCAACCGGTGTTCCAATAAAGCCTAAAAGACCTCCGTTAGAACCCTGGATATTAAATGGACTTTTTATTACTGAATAATTAACAAATAAAAAGACACAGTAGATCATAGTGACCAATCTGCCCCTTAACCCAATCTCACTTTTCATTTTGTTCTAAACTACCTCATTGTCATTTCTCTCTATCATATCAATCGCATCTCAAACAGGTAGAGACAGAGGGCTATTTTGGCAAATTACAATAACAATTAAAAAGTCAAAAAAATCAAAGATATATATAAAATAATCAAAAGTTTTATTCTCTTCACAAAAAAAATATATAAAAAATTATTAAAATAACTTATTTCCAAATTAAAATACCTATGTGTACACAAATGTATACTACACGTGTTTGGTGTGATTTTTTTAAGCCAACTTATAAATTATAAAAGTAAAAAAAAGCATCCAAAGCATACTAATTTTCACCCCCATATTTTAACAAAAAAAAAATATAAAAAATTACTAAAATAACTTATTTCCAAATTAAAATACCTGTGTGTACACATATGTATACTACACGTGTTTGGTGTGATTTTTTTAAGCCAACTTATAAATTCTAGTTTTGAAAAAGTTATTTTGAACTATTTGATTAAATTTATTTCAAACAATTTTTTATTCTAATAACTTATTTTAACTCAAAAAAGTTGAGTCTGAAAAGCTGTCCACCCTCCGCTTCTTATTATCATTTTCTGATTATAACAGCTTATTTACAATTATATCTTTAGAAATTAAAAAAAAAAATAGAAAAAGACCCAAATAAAGATGGTTGACTATTTTTTATTTTTTATGAGAATTATAAACTAATAGATAACAAAAATAATAGTTAATTCAATTCGTAACTAACAAAGGGTAATTCAATTTACAATTAATAAAGGATGGCCCCGTTTGGGAACTTGACTATTTTAGTTGATTTTTTGACTATTTAACTATTTTAGCTTGATTAAAAAAGTTGTGTTTGAGATGATAATTATTTATTTTATTTTTTTTGTAGGTAATTTGATAATTGTGATAAAAAAAATGATTATAGTTTATATGTAGCATTTTGTCTTATTAATTATTTAAACTTATTTTGTCTTTGTTGACTATTTTAGTCAAAAAAAAAGAACATATCCCAAACAAAGCACTAAAAAGGACATTTACACATCGAAAAAGTTATTTCACAACTTATTTTTCAAACATATAAGTCTCAACAACTTAAATCTATAATCTAATAATACCAAATAAATTAATAAATTTGTTAAAATATAATCTATAATTTATTTTAATAGTTATACCAAACACCGTTCATGTTGATCCAAGCCAACAAAAAGGTATCATGGCTATTTTGGTCATTTCAGAGAAACCAATGACGTGCCCTAACCATATCAGTCAACAAACAGAAACGACCACACCGGCCTTAACGTTCCTACCAAGAACTTTCCCAAGAGTCAAAGCCATTTTTGGCCATCCACCATAAGTAAAACAAATAAAATCAAATTCAATCAATATAGTAAATATAAATAAATAATTTAAAATTTTAAAGTAAAATTCAACGTTTGCAATGAACTCACCTTTCCGGCAACCACCACCGCCGCCGAGAAACCCATCTCCTTCAAACCCTTCCTTACACCGGCACCGGAACCCAGAACCACCGTTTGGCGGCGTCACCGCCGTACAATCCGCAAGCGGCGAGCAATTGCAACGCCCCTCCAACCACCATTCGAGCTCCGCCACCTGAAATTGAAGCGGAACCGCCGGACTCTTATTGGAATCATTGCTCAAATCCACGGTGATGGAAGTGAACAAGAATTTACAATGGTTCTTGCTCAAATTCTGGAAAGTCATGAAATCCAATTGTGTATCCACAGCAGAGTAACAAGTGAAGTTATCGCTTCTGATACCACAGCTTCCTAATCCCAACCGCTTCTCCACCATGGATGTTGGTATCAAGCATCCTTCAATTGGGGATGTGCAGTTCCGCAACATGAGGGTGTTCGAGGAAGAGAGAGCGTAGTTTGGGCCAAAGAGCGGCTCGATTTCAGCGGTTGGGCGACTGCAATTTGCTGGGAGATTGATGAGTATAGTGTCTGTGGTGACATTTCGGACTTGAAATTGGCTGATGCTGATGTCTCCGTTGTCGCTGCATTTGAGAGGGATTGGGCAGCCATTAGAGAACCCGAAGGGGTATGAGACCCTATTATGATTCGTTTGGCTAGTTCCACATGTTTGATTGCATTGAGCATCCGATTTGGTTGAAGAGGAAACTAGAATTGCTACGATAAATGCAATAATTGTTTGATGAAGAATCATATTCAACACTAATTGGAAGCAAACGAAGCAATCATAACATCTCTCTCTGCAATAGATGAAAATTGAGGTGAATCGAGAGATTAGATGAAAATTGGACGATAACCCAGATTTGAGAGAAAAGAAGCTTGTTGGCCCTTGAAGTTATTGGGATGGATATTAAAGGGTGGTGTTGTTGATGTGGTGATTGTTGAGAAAATCACGTTTCTTATTGAATGCCTATATTATATTATATACGATGATGCTTACTCTGCAACGCTTCAATGGCCTGTAATTGCTCTGTGATTTTCAAGTTGGAATATGCAATCAAGTCTTTGGCAATTGGAACCAAAACCAACGGTGTTCTTCAATCTCTATCGACGACTGTAAATTAGGGTTTTTATTCTGCTCAATCAAAACATGATAGTGAAGAGAGGGAATGAAACAATGAAATTCAGCGGAAGCATATCTTTTTTACTCCACGAAACAGAAAGCGGAAGCAGAATGATACAGGTCTGGTCAACTTGTGTGAAATGCTATCCGCCCTCTGCGTTGAGTTTAATCGAGATAAGCAATAAATCATTTCAATTTCTTGAATTTAAAATACATAAAAGTTTATATTTTTAGACAAAATACAAATTGGTGGGATCTTCATAAAATAATTTCAAATTCATAAAAAAATGTATAACTTTAATTATTAAATTTAGTAAAATTTATCATTAATTTAAATTTGTTTCTTGAAAACTTCCACTGAACTGTAATTTTTCCTATATATATATATATTTTTTTTTTGTATAGATTTCAAATTAAATTTATTTTAATAGATTAGTGGAGTTAAATTATCCGGTAGTACTACGCCTCCGTTTGGAAAGTGGGTTGGTTTTTTGACTTTTTGATTTTTTTGGCTATTTTAGCCTGGGCTAAAAAGTTTAGTTTGGGAATGACTTTTTGGCTTTTTGACTTTTTTGACTTTTTTTGTGAGAGAAAAATGTAATGATTATGGGTTGGATGTGGTATTTTGTTTTTTGTAGCTAAAATAGCCTATTTTATCTTTTGTGGCTAAAATAGTCAAAAAAGCTCCGTTTAGCTCTTGTCAAACGGAGCCTACATGCACCAATTAGTGTATCAACAGTAGTTATGACATTATTATTGACCACACTCATTATACAAATAATAAATATTAAAAACCTCGCAAATTATTTCACATCACCAATTGGTAGTACACTATTGGTACATATAATATTATTTTAAATTATCACACCAGACTAACGTTACTAGGGACGCTCATAGTTCGATTGTGGTCGGGAAATCTCTAATTTGTCATTCGTTTGCCGAATTGGCGAATTGAAAAAAACAATCTACATCCGTCCGCCGGAGTGGCGGATACAGATTGAGTGGATTGGCGGATGGATGCAAATCAGCTTAACGGTTTTAACTTTTACAAATTTTGAATATAATACAACGACTTATCAATATTTATTTTTTTGAATAACAATCCAACTCAACATAACCAAAAGATTATTAAGTAAATTATCAAATACTAATAATAAATACATATAAGAAAATCATACATTATCAAAACTATTTCATTACTTTTTTTTTATTCAAAAACTATTTAATTGATTTTTTTTAAAAAATGACAAAATTAAACCTTGTATTTTTCACACAAAAATATTAAATATCAACACTTGTCATTTGATAAAAGAATTTTCAAATTGAAAACACAACAGAATATCTAAACTTTTTTTTAATAGAAAATTAAACAAAATATCTAAACAAATTAAAAATACAAAATCTTACAAATTACTAGGGGTGCTCGTGATTTGAAGGTTCGGTTGCAACCAAAAAAATCTCAAATCTGACATCTGTCTAAAACTAAATGAATTGAAAAAAATAATTCACAATTATCTATTTATCGTTACACATTCGTCCAAAATACACCACATCGATTCGATTGGGTCAATTTGAACTAATTGAAATATTCGTTTAACACCGCTAAACGTTATTCTATCTAGTCAAAGTTAAGATGTGGCTTTACAAATATCTAAATATTTTTTATTGAGTCATGAAATTATAGTTCAGATCCAAATTATTTTAATTGATTGATATTTTAATTGATTGAATAACAAATTGTGAATAACTTAGGGTGTGTTTGGTAACGTTTACGTTTTTAGTTTATATTTACAAAAATTTTATAAATTAATTTTTGTTTATTTTTAAAAAAACATAAACTACAAATGCGTTTGGTAATTGACAAAATATTTAAAAAAAATTTAAAATATAAAAAAAAAAGTGAGAAATGACAAGTGGTGGCAAGTAGCGGCAGAAGACAGTGATGAAAAGTGGTGACGATGGGTGGTGGGTAGCCGGTGGTAGTGGGTGGTGGCGGGTGGTTGGTGGTGGTGGTGGATGAGTGGGTGACGGTGGTGGGTGGTAGGTGGTAACGAGTGGGTGGTGGTGGCAGGTGGGTGGTGAGTGGTGGTGGAAGGGGGTGGTGGGGGTGGGTGGCGGAAGACGGTGGTGGAAAATGGTGGCGGGTGGTAACTAGTGTTGGGTGGTAAAAAAAAAAAAAACTGAAAACTCAAAATGGAAATACATTTTTTATATTTTTATTTTTTGACAAAATTTATAAACTGAGACCACTAATTTTTAAATCAAAAATTTTACCAAATAAATTTTTATTTAAATTTTTAAAATTTTTATAAATATAAATAAAAAATTAAAAACATAAGTGTTATCAAACCGCACCATAATAATCATAATCAAAATTTTGATATTTTGAAATTCTTATCACAGTTGTTATTTTATAAAAAACAAAAAAGATACTAAAACATTGTTGTTAGTCTTAGTCTTATAAATGACAAAGTACTGCATATTTTAAAAATATTTTTTAAGAATAATGCTTGGGATCCGGTGGTGGCAAGTGGGTGGTGGTGGCTAGTGGTGGCAGGTGGGTGGTGGATGGTGGTGGCAGGTGGTGGTGGGGGGTGGATGGTGGTGGCGGATGATGGGTGGTGGAAAATGGTGGCGGGGGGTGGCTAGGGTTGGGTGGTAAAAAAAAAAAACTCAAAACTCAAAATGGAAACACATTTTTTGTATTTTCATTTTTTGGCCAAATTTATAAACTAAGACCACTGATTTATAAATCAAAAATTTTACCAAACAAGTTTTTATTTGAGTTTTTTAAATTTTTGTAAATATAAACAGAAAACTGAAAACGTAAGTGTTATCAAACAGCACCTTAGCTTTCTAGGATATATAACAACCAATAGTGCTACATCTATATAGCACTCTTTTGGGAAGTTGAGTTAGGGTGAGTTTGACTAAAATAGTTACAAAAAGATAAAATATATTTTTTAGACTCAGGCTAAAAAATATTACATTCAAATCATAATCATTTCAAGTCAAAAAATCTATCTCAAATGAGACTTTTTAATTCCAGACTAAAATAGTCAAAAAATTAAATCACATCCCAAACGAAGCCATAGTTGCTTTCTTCCACATTCCCCTTAATGAGGTGGCAAGACAAAATACAAGTAAAGATAATTTTGATAAAATATTTGAATGTGAATCAATTTTTCAAATTGTAATTGCCACAACATTTAAGGAGATTGTGAAAAAAACAAATTGTATGAATGAATTATTTTTTTATAACAACTTATCGAGTTAAATAATACATTCTAGATGCTTTTATCAAAATTTCAATATGCCTGGTCGGTAACTATTTCATTTTTCAGTTTTCAATTTATATTTATAAAAATTTCAAAAATTGTCATAAAAACTTGTTCGATAATTTTTTTTGGTTTATAAATTATTGTCTGAGTTTATAAATTTGAGAAAAAATCATAAACTCAAAAAATCAGTTTACGTTGGTTTTTAAACAAAAATTTAAAAATTTGACTAACAAATTTTTTTTTCAATTAATATTTTTTCAAATAATTTTTTTCCAATCAATTTTTTTTTTTCAATTATAATGTGCATGATCCCATTGTCATAAATAATAAAAAATAAATATAAATATTTTAGGCCTGGATAAACATATTTTTTAATTTATGTTTTTAAATTTTTTTAAACATTTTGTTCAAACCAAATGCGTTTGTAGTTTATGTTTTTCTAAAAATAAACAAAAACCAATTTATAAAATTTTTATAAATATAAACTGAAAACGTAAACGTTATCAAACGCTAAAAAATATTCCAAAACCGTTTATTCTTAGGCCCTGTTTGGGGACTTACCTTTTTAACCAAAAAGTCAAAAAGTTACTTTTTTAGCCAAAAAGCCAACAACTCATACTAAAAAGTCAAATATTTTTTGCACATCTTTTCGTAATTAATCAAAAAGTCATCCCAAACATATAAGTTTTTTTTATCTACTTTTTTAGTCAAATAACTAAAAAATTACTAAATTAGCCTGTTCCTAAACGAGACCTTATTTGCCTGAAACATAAGCAAACTCAATCATATTTTCTCTTTAACAATTATACTCTTATATTATATTCCCTCCGTTTTAAATTATTTGTCTAGTTTTGACATTCATACCTTTAAATCAAGTGAATAATTAATATATCTTTATAAAATAAAAATAAAAATTAATTTTTTTCATATATTAAAATATATCAATTAATCATTGTACACAAAAACTTCAAAATAGTTAAAATATTTTTTTAAATATAAAATATTTAAAATAATGACAATCAACAAACGACTTGGATGGAATACATAGTTTTATTTGTGTCCAATTATATCCGAGACTCTTTTATCGGACAAAAAAAAAATTATATCCGAGAACCCAAACATCTAGTGGAAACGACTTTTCTCCTTCTGTGGTTCTCGAAGATTAACGATTTCAGCAATTGGAAGTGGCTCAAAATTCAGTGGTTTGAATGGTTTGAAATTGTTAAAATGATACAAAATGATATTATTTTAACAGTTTTAAATTATTGTAGTCACTGATTTTGTGGCCCTCAAACATTATTTATTTTGAATTGAAAAAATAATTGAAAATCAAAAAATAAAATAAAAAAATGATAGAATTATTTGACTTTCACAAACTTTGAGTTTGCGCGTAAAACAGCAAGACACGTCACCAATGGCAATGTCATCCTCGGATATTTTTTATGAAGGTAGCAAGGGTGGGCCCACACCCACTGTGTACTAACTTCGTCAAATTAGTTACGCAGATTTTTTTAAAAAAAATTATCACTGATTTTAGTTTTCAGAATTTATTTTTTTTTTTAATTTAATTTTAATTTTTTGTATTTTTTTATTTTCACTGGATTTTTTTTATATATTTTAAGGTCTTTTTAAAATTTTTAAAATGCAACTTTTTTGATAAATCCATTTTCTAAGAATTCTATTCCATCCAATCCATATTCTTTTTGACTATTCCATTAGGTCCAATTTGAGATAAGAAGACCAAAATACCCTTTTTATCTACTTATGTTCCATTTAGTTCACATTATTTTCTCGGCGACGCGATCGGCGACCGGCGACGTCGACGATCAGAGCAGAGCAGCGAGGCGGCGAAGGCGGAGGCGCGGCGACCGGCGACGACGACGGCCTCTCCCTC